AAAAGAAGGATGATGTTTACCAATTTTCTCTTGTGTTTGATGTCAAGTACACACGAAAGTAGGAATGGGAGTAACCAACGTAGATATGGTCCCTGGACACCTGCTAATTCAAGACTTTCAGACTTTTTTCTATTTGAGGGTCCACATTTTTTTTCTGAATGGCTGTTTGTGTTCGAATGCAGTGCGGTGCAAAATAGGGGACACCCCTTCCCAAAAAATGTGAATGTCTCGGCTTCTAGAAAACGTCGTCCATCGCAACTGGTAGAATCAGAACCGCCTTCATGAAAAACCTATACTCACAAGTCACCAGGTTATCCGATTAGTTTTCCGTATTTTTAGACAAATTTTTTATTTTGGAGCCGGTGCAAAATCATAGGACACCCTCTTTCAAAACCTTGAAAATACAGAAATACGCCGAATCTTATTGTTTAGTATTCCAAAGGAACCGCCCAGCAGAATGACACTATCCAAACAAGAAAAATGATGCCGCAAATTTTTATACTTATTTAAATCAAAGTGGTGCCCATCAGTGGGGAATCCGTTGCTTCAACTTTGAAATTGTGTTGATCTTGTGAGTATTCGCGCAGCCATTGCTAACAAAGGTTCTCCAAGTGAGTCTCGACAAACTTCAGACGCGCACTCCTTGCTTGCCGTAAAGTTACTAATTATGTTTGTAACCACTGGCTCACGGGAACTTCGCATGACAAAAAGATAGTTTTAACGCGAAATACATCTAAAAAAAACAGAAGGTTTTCTGCGACTTTTCTGTGCTCTAGTAAACTCATTCCATTAGCGAAAAACTTCAGGTTTGGGACTCAGGATGAGGTTACGCATCCTCACATCTTTAGGAAATCACCACAAAAATTTCGTTGGAAGAATATCGTCGAATCCTGGCCTATATTCCTCTACTAGTGAACAGCGTCATCTGAACCATCACAGTTAAACTTCTTGTTACCAAAGAAAAGCGGTCTGAGAGGAACAAAATACTTATTATCCTGAATGAAAATTTGCTCAACAAACGTTAACCCAGTCTTTCGTTGAATTTCTCTTCTCTGGTTTCAGTCAGAACGCCTAACAGCACCCTTCGCAGGACCCTACGCTAGTTGTCCATATCAATGATTTTGCCGAGATGGTTTCGGTTTTATCCGCCTTCTGTCGTAGAGCTGACGCTGAGCGTGCATGGTGATTTTGTTCGATGTAGTCTTCGAGGTTATACGCCAATCCTTCTGGGAGGTCTTGTGATTATCCTCTTAAAAACTCCTAAAAATGGCTGCGATACTCACGGTAGGCCATCAGGCACATATAAAAGCAACGTTTGGCTTTCAGAAGGAGAGGAGAGCAACTCAAACCGTAATTCCAGTAGAGTTGCCATACACCGAAAAAGTGCTAATATCGCTGCTGGTTGGATAAAAATCAAACAGTGGGGAGAATTTTGAGAGGTGTCCTGTGAATTCGCACCGGCTCTTTGACTAAAAAAAAGTCTAAAAATACTTTTTTATAGGTTTTTATAAAGGCGGTCATGATTGTACAGATTGCGATGGACGGCGTTTTCTAGAAGCCTGAGATATTCATATTTTTGGGGGATGTCCTATGATTTTGCACCGCATTGTACGTGGGAACGAATCACTGGCACATATTTAATAATTTTGTAATCTATGAGCTTGGGACGGATCGATTCTTTTTTCTTGGTAGTTTGTATCTTGTGTTTGAACGACATTTGTTCAAATGTTTGATGGACATCAGTTCGAAGTAATTTCATTTTTGCATTATTTTCTCGCTTATTAGCTTGCTCTTGGAAAAGGAGTTTTTCATCAAGTCTACTTGGTTATACACGTGGCCAGTTTTCCCTTGAAAGCCTTTCGGAGCAAAATCAGGCTTACATTAGAATCGCTGAAATTTTGAACAAAAATTGGGTTTCTATAGAAATCGTGGTCTCTTGAATTTTTGAGAAAAATTTTGGGATCGTCTATTGTGATGTAGGTTTATCCAAATCTATACAAAAACTTTGATTATGTAAAAAGCAGAAGTTTCTTCTTCGATGCATGAATAATGTAATTGTTTTGATAGTGTTAATCTTGAAATGATAATGGCAGACATCCGTAATATGTTAACAAAGCCTTGTGTGAATGTCTTCCTGAACGTGGTTCGTAGGTGTGGTGTGATTTGCAGGTGAAATCCAAGATTTCTACAATAAATCAAGAGGAGTTCCGCTTGCAAAAAGGCGAGGA